CGCTTAGTTAACATCATGTTAGAAAGTGAAAAGAAAAAATGGGGAGAAGATTTGAAAGAAATGCAGTTTGCTACACTCATTTTATTGTTTATTGTTAAAACGTAAAAAAAAGTTTTTCCCCCTAAATATGAAGACAGACTTAAATGACATGCCTTTTAATTGCACCATCGTAACCCTTGATAATAAGTGCGAGCCGCAGTGGAGATCACGTGGGAACGAGGGGTCGAGAGGAACACAGCGTTAGGCTCCCTCGCTCGGCTCTCTGTATTCAAACAGAGGAAAAGCGAGGCGGTCAGAAATGGATTGTTATTTGGGAGGGGCATAACACTGAAGGAGATTGAAATCGGTCTGAGGCAGCGACAAGTGGTCGCGTCTCCCTGCCACCCAGTCTGACTGCAGGCAGAGCTGGCTCACTACAGTCAAACAGGGGAAGTGGACTGTTATGACTCGACGCCATTTTTAACATGAACGTTTTTTTCCTATACTTTCTTTTCTTTTTGTTTTTTGTTTTGCCTCTTGCGTATTCTACTGCAGCATGTCTTCTGAGAAATCTTTGTCATTTCTTTCCTTTTCTTTGTATGTTTTTTTCTTATCCCCCCCCCCCCGCCCTGACAGCTCATTTCTTTTAACGTTTTGGTCTTTTTTTTTCTTTTTCATCCGACGACTCACAGTCTTGTATTTCCACTTTGTCCAACTTATGATTTAACTCCCTGTCTTTATCTGTGTCTTGTCCTTTTTCTCCTATCTCTCTGTTTCTTTAATCCCCTATTTACTTCTCTTTCCCCTGATCTCCCTTCTGAACCACTTATCTGCTCTTTGACAGTCCCAAAAAATTTGACCTCCCACTCCCTCGCTGTCTCCATGAATCAGTCTTTATGAATTCTGTTATCTCTGTCTGTCTGTCTGTCTGTCTCGCTCTCCTTCCCCGGTTGACATCCATTTTCAGACGGCCCTCCCTCCCTCCCTCCCTCCACTGCGCTCTCCCTCACTGCCTCCTTCCTCTAGCGGCTCACTAATCACTTTTGTACTTTTCCTTCAGCCCGTGGAGGGAGACTCTGGGGTAGGCAGAAATGCAAGCGGTCTGGCAGACAACATCATCATGCCTGGCTCCCACTGGGAAAGTTGTTGCAGCGGGGGGCATATTCAACACCACTTCCCTGGCAGGAAATGTCGCACACACAGTGGATAAAAATCTCTAAATAGAAAGACTTCAGTCAGATGCATAGATAATGGATTGTGTGTCAGACGGCTACAGTCGACTTTAAGTGGTCGCGGTTATTGTGTTTGCCATTAAAAAGTCGTCAAACTAAAATTTGAAAAAGTTCTCAGAGGGACGATATAACTAGTGAGTCACATGCATATGAAAATATGCATTTGCTGAAACTCTAGTAGTTAAAAGCCTTAAAGGGGAAGTAGTCAAACCTTAAGAAGATAAAGTTGTCTTTGTGTCCAAGTCTGAGGAAATAACCCCACCGATGACATCCAGGTTATCTCAGCTTGTGCCTGGATAGTATAATATAAATATATTATATAAACTATATATTCATAAATATACCAGAAAGCCTGTGTTACATATTTAGGTTTCGGGGTCTGTAAGATGAGGACATTTATCTTCATTATATGCTTTTAAACACAGCTGTCATGAAGTTTTAAAATGCAGTAACAGTGCATAACCAAAAATGAATAAACAAGATTAACAAAAGTTGTCCAAACACAAACTGCAGACAGGCACTGACAGAAACCTAAGACACGTCTTAAGCATGTTTTGTTAAAAAAGGAAGCATCTATATATAAAGGATGAACAAATTTCTCTATTGCAAAGGCATCAGCGTCTGTATGATCTTGGCACAAACATATTCCCTCAGTTAAATGACTGAAAGGGATTCACAGGTGCTCAGGAGATAAACCCACAGGCTGGACCATGTAAGGCCTTCAAAACAAAGCACAGCATTTTAAACACAATCAACCACACAGGGAGGCAGCACAGTGAAACTAAGACCGGGCTGAAGCCGTCTGTTCTATTGGAGCCTGACGGACAGTCTGTTCGGAGATTATGGATGAGCCACAAACAGGAAAAAGCCAGGCCTGACTGATCCCAACATATAGTGAAATTTTAATAATCAGGGATGATGACAGACATGGACAGGGGGTGGATTTTTTTCTCTATAAATAATCCAGAGAAAACAGAATGTCATGACAGAATTTATCTGTGTTCATCAAATGTCAGGGTGAGATTAAGATTTTTGTCTGTGTTCGTTTGCCTCCAGCTCAGGAGACACTGAGAGTCAGTGCTGGAACTAAAGAAGTGGAGTCAAGATTACCACAGTTTTTACCAGCCAGCATTTTAAATCAGCAACAGACTCTTTAAAGCTTCATATAGACCCACTCAACAAAGGGTTTCATGAGCCAATGGGAACATTTAGAATTTAACGACAATCTGTAAGTGTTATATTAATGACCAACTATTGGCAAGCAGGCTAATGTGATTAGCTAAACGACACCAGCTCATCTGTTATTTCACTTATCATCATACTGCATCTGTCTAAAGTTAAAGTGTACATAAAGATGGAAGACATGACAGCTCCCTAAAGGTGAAGCCAAATCATCTTGATTTCCCCCTGGTGGCTAGATGCAGTATAGGTCATGAACCCTACCTCCTCCATGTTAGAGGATAGGACTTGGACCAAATAACAGATGTCAAACTTTCCTGTCACACTGATGTATGTTCAAGTATTCATCTTTCTGGTAAGCTTGGTTTTCATTAGTTGTTTGATGCTATGGAAATGGGGTGAAAAATATATATGTACTTTATATAAAGCTAAAACACAATGGGCCAGGGGTATCATGGGATTTGTTGCAGACTGAAGGCTATTTTTGATTTACTTTTACTTTTTCTTTGTTTACTTCTTCTTTTGAGGAACTTTGGCCCAGTGTCTGCTCTCACAGTGACTTGCAGCTGGCATGGATGCTATTAAAAACAAACAGACCTCAAATCGCAGTGTAAATATTTTTTTCACTGCATCTTATTTAGTCTGAGAAAGTGTAAATTTGATTTCATATAGAGCGCACCGCCGGCCTTAGTGTGTCACAGCTGATGTTTGTGCTTCATATGTGCGACAATATCGCAGCACTGAGCCCAGGAGACGGTTTCAGAGAAAATGACAAATTAATACGACAATACTGGACTGTAAAATGACAAATAAACAATGCACCAATGTTTTGATTAATGTTGGGACATTCAGAGCACAGAGTCACAGGCTGTCTGAGAACAGTGCCACAGCTCCCTCTGGGCCTCCTCATAAAGCAGCTGTAGCAGATGCAAAAAAATAAATAAAGAGGAAAAAGAAAATTCTCGTAAGCTTCTTCCAAGAAAGAAAAAATTGATGGCGAGAACAGAACTATGTGTCACAGAGGCAATTAAGGCTCCGCCAGCAGACAGCGAGACTGATCCCCTGCAGTGGAAGCTACATGAGGTCAACTCTCCGCAGGTCTGCCAGTTGGCCAAAAAATACTTCTGTATCCCCGCCACCAGCACCCCTGCTGAGAGGGTGTTTAGCACTAGTGGCAATATTGTGATTTGTCATACAGCAGGGTCAGCAGCGAAGCCAGATTCAGAGAACAGGCTTGTTTTTCTGGCACATAATCTTAACAGTGATGTATACGCTCACTGGAACTGCTTTGCCTTATTTAAAAAGCAAGTTGAAAACACCAGTTCATCTTTCTGGTGTGTGTTTATAGACCCAAAGGATGAGAAAGGTTATTTGGTGCTCAAGTGTCTTTTTCACCTCCAAATATGGCATTGAGTGATGACTGCGGACAAGCTTATTTCGCTCCGACTTAACTTTAAAACTGTTTCATATAAAGTTAGGGTGCTTTGTGATTTGCATTTTTATATTTTTATATGTTACAAATAAAAAAAGCAATAACATATAAAGGTAAATCTTCCAGACCATATGGTTTGCTTACAGCGAAAAAAATCAGGCATATGCAAATATATGCACCGATTTCTCTATTTATTTAGTAGCACACGAAAAATATATATAAAATTAGGTTCTATAAAGTGTTATTATTTTACATCCACTTGCATCGGATTGGTGTGTGGTTTCGGCTGATACGCAAAGTTCAAATATCGTAATCAGTGTCAGAAATGGAAACGTGGTATCGGAACAAATTTCAAACTTTGTTACCTTCTAACTGGAATGAAACAGATCTGGAACTAAGTTTCTAACATGATGCACTTTTTAAATTTAAATCCATAGACGTGGATCATAATATAAAAGATATTTACACTAAAAGAAATGATGACACAATAAACTATTCACAATTGTTTATTAAGTGACCAATCCATGCAGGCCCCCCTTAGTGCCAGATTGCTGCAGGGATGTGAGGCACAAACTTCAGTGCAGGGCACCGGTAAGAACATGAAGCTGGATTCTGGCCTGAGGGCAAAGGAAGGGGTTCTAGATCCCTCAGTAGGGATTACATGTTTAAATTTGGTATGGACATGCAGCTATTGGAGGAAGGTGTTAGAAGGAGGAGGATCACATCAAATCTATAGGCTGCTCACATGTTTTCTTGTTTCTTGTGTCTTTTGTAGATTTTCTTTTATCTCTGGCTCTTGCACCATCATATTTATCTCCTCTTCTAATGAAATATCGTGCACGGCAGCAGTGAGCATTAACCATCATTCAGCCCAGAGACGCCACAATTATAACCTCTCCACAGACCCAGTGTAAAACCCTGATTTAACGTGCAAAAACATAAAAAAGATTTAAAAAAGAAAAGAAACAAGCACAAATAATGCTCTTTTATGTCCTGAGAATCAAACGATGTGAGAACACAAGACAAGACTGATGTCTGCCTCTGAACTGAGGGTTGCAACTGTTGAAATAAACCCAGGAGGCCCGTCTTAGGTTATACACTTATAAATAAATGCATGTTTTAGCAGAGATTTTTTTTTTTAGATGCTGAAAACACTGAACAACGTTTGGTGAGCTTACCAGAGGCTGCAGCAGTGATGCAGAGAAGCAGAGCCAGCCTCACCGTGTGACCCTCCATGTCTGCTGAGTTAAAGTCTGAGGCGCTGGTGTGGGCTGAGTCTAGGTCCCTGGGGGGTGTGGAGGTACTCTTGGGGGGGCAGAGGGTAGTTGCTGAAGAGTCCTTGTCTAGCAGCAGAGCAGCGATGACTGTGACAGCGGAAGAGCAGACAATTTTTCAGTCTTTAAAAAGGTCAAAAGGTCAGAGGGAGAAAATAAAAGAGGCGTGGAATCAATGAGGTGATGTGCTGGTGGATAAGGGGGGTGACTTAGTGTTATACTCAGTGGACAAAGTCAAAACAAGTATTGAAATAATCATGAAATAAAACAAATATCTGATGCTGATTAATAGGTATTATTGACAACTACTACATAAATATTAAAAGTCTATTTTACCCTTCAATTCTATGCAACTAAATAATCAAGAAATTGACATTGAGTGAAATGTTGCTTACATTCGCTGAATTAACCCCACAATATTTCTCTGCGTTTTCCCTCGAGCACAATAAGGGGTCTGAACCACAGGGTTATCTGCTGGTCACTAGCTTCTGGCTCGACTGTTTCAGGAAGCACTACACGACATCGCTTTCTTTAAATAATATCACAATGCCCAGATCAGATAAGCGGGAGGGCCGCTCTTGTTATATGATTCATATAGCTGGAGGGGAAAGGAAGAGCCTGTGTAAACTGTTAATGCAATTCCAAAGGAAAAGGCAGAAGAAAAAAAATCACGTTATTTCCCTGGACTTCAAACTGTAGGTGGGAGAAAATATCTACAACTTGCAGTGTATTTCATAAAAGTGTACTTTAGCAATAAATGTAATAAAAGTGTGAAAAGCAACTGTGTCCATTAGGACTGGATGATTAAACAACATCGGTAATAATGCTAATATTATTTACATCAATGGCTGTATAAGAAAAGTGTAATATATTCACTTTAATTTGATTTCTGCACTTTCTAAATTGTATGTCTCTTTGAGTATCGTTAAAACTGTGATTCAAATAAAATGTATTATTATGTACAATTGCTGTGTGATCTTCACATTGCTGTTACATTGTTTTTATCACTTCCTCTTGTAAAGCACCTTGTTACTGTATATATATATATTATATTTGATTTATTATTATTATCACCTGTATAATGCGTATGCATACCTTAAGCACATTGAGGAGGTACAACATCAACAATCAACATTCAAACTTTAAACTTCAAACGAGCAATAATTTCAAATGTATCGTGATAATTATCGATATCGACCGGTAAGAAAATGTGACATTTTTAAATATATCGCCCAGACCTAGCGTCCATTTGTAATAAACTGATCATTTAATCAATGAGGCGAAATAACCCACTAAGATAAACAGGAAATATCCCTCATTTAACATAAACAGGCTCTTTACACATAATCCACAATTAGCTCGCTCTTTATAAAACTTTATGACTTCATCAGTAAGTGTTGATGATTTCATAAGTCACATTTTAAAGCAGAGAGTTCGAGCTTGACTCGCTGACGTCTGTTCTATCAGAGAAATAAAACCACGTCCTCTGTTCGAGCGAGAAACACAGAGAAGAATCACACAAACTTACTGTCTCGAGTTAGTGGATGTTTTCTTTGAGGAGTAAGTCAGGAGGAATAATCCACAGGAGAGGAGGTGACAGCTCTCAGACGTGTCACGGTGTCAGGACTTGACAAAACTTTTTCACTGCAGTCCTGGGCGGTGCACATTGACTTTTATACTCCTCCCACCACCGGCCTCCTCCTCCTCCTCCTCCTCCTCTTTCTGAGGGGGGGGGGTTCTTGCTGCCCACTCTCACGCATCGTCCACTGACTCCACTGACTCCACTGAGTCCACTGGCTGCGCGTAATTCTGTCAACTCAACGACTGATTCGCAGTTTTCATCCCTGAATGTTACAAGTGTCAGAAACACTGAGCTGCTCCTCGACCTCCAGGCACCAGGCTGCAGAGAGAAGAGAGAGCAACATGTCCCACTGTCCACACAGACCCCAGAACACACACAGCTCTGAGGAAACAACTGATTACATGGATACATCACATTAGACAAATAGATGAAATAAGAAGAAAATAAATACAAAATAAAAAGACATAGAGAGATATAGATACATGTAGAGAGAGAGAGATTGATATACAGAGCGAGAGATAGAGAGATAGACACAGAGGCAGAGATTTTATGCATAAGAAAACAAATATTAAGCAAACATGTATATATATATAGGCCTAAATACGCTGATATTCATACATGTACACAATCTATAAATGCATATACAATCTTTTAATAAGTGTATGTCTGAGCAGGAAAAAGCAACGTTCTTATCTTGTCCTTCCCCAAAACATCAAAATTCAACACAATGATCGTTCTCAGTGTCTCACTGTCCATCATCATCAAAATCATAATGTGAACTGTATCATCTTATTATTTCTATATTTACAAATACTTTTAAGAAAATGAAATATACCTTTGAGAATTATTACCCCTCACCCCTTTCAGTCAAAGAACAATATAAGGAACATGCATCCATTGAAAATGGTTAATTGTTGTTGCACTTTGCAGAATAATTTGGGGTTTTCTTCTGAAAGAGGGAGGATGAGGTTTGATCTGATTTGAAATGCTTCATAATCACAGTTTTATCCGACATCTGACTCAATCAGTTTTAGGCCACACTTGATCTGAATCCCACACAGTGGTTGCCCAGAAGCTGCCGTAGTCTTTACAGTGAAGGACTCTTGGACGGGGGATTTTTTAATATTAGCAGTTACACTTTTTATATGTCACTGTTTGCTGTAAAAAATGTGAGTCGATAGATGTGAAAGTGGAATTGAGCCATGGTGGCACAGTGATACAGCGGTTATAACCTCACACAAAGAGGGTTAAAACCCCTTTTCAGCAATTAGGCCTCTCTGCTGTTTTCATGTTCTCCCTGTGCCTGCGTGACATTTCCTTCCTTGTTTGCGTCTTTATGTCTAAGCCGTATAGCGGATGAATGCATGGAATCCAGACATCATTTGTTTTCTTGTTTATATCCCTGTGCTTTTCCGAGAGCGACATGGCGGAATGTTTTCCTTGCAGCGTGCACGTCAACCTCAGTCTGGCCTGAGAGGACGTGCAATAGATCAAAAGTAAGTGGGGGAAAAAAAACACTTGTATGGGAATGTAGACAAACCATTGTGTCAGATTTTCAGTTTCTGCTTGAAAGAGAGGAGAGGTATGATTTGTGGATTTGTATATATACCAGCAAACCTGAAAACAGAGTAATCCAGGGAAGTTTATAAAACCAAAGGACGAGGAAATCCAACATGTGACGTGAACAAACGAGGAGATGGAGAGATGCCACCAGACAAACTGAGAGAGAAGGACACAAAGACTAAAGGAGGGAGCGATCATTGAACTCAGGTGTGACATGAGAGCAGGTGCAGACCAGGAAGGAGGGAAACCAGACAAAGACAGGAAGTAAAGTCAGAGACAAAAGAAGCTTCAAAGTAAAACAGGATTTAATTAACCCAAAGTGTAAAGATAGCGCATTTAATTCTACTTGAACCAAAAATGGATTTGGATCTGCATCAAATTGCACAAGCTCATAAATTTTCAAGCCCTTAAAATGTTGGATTTGACAGAGCCCCTCAATCCAAGTGATCATGTGTCAGAGCAAAAATTTGATTAGTTCTGTTATGTTATTATGTGTGTGTGGATATGTATATGTAAATGTTTTAAATCCAAACTACTATATATGTGTGTATATGTATGTTTTAAATTAAATTAAATTCGGTTTTTTTAGGACTTTGATCATTGCAGAGCATTTAATTTTGGCTGCTGCTCTACCATCATCTCATAATGAAAAATAAACTGAGAAAAACAGAGTAGACACAACATCTTTCTGTACAGAGCAGACCCAGATGAGTCATGATCCCATCAAATCAACTCTCGGCACAGGAGCAGCAGAGGAGAAAAAAAACAGATGTAGACTAGACTTCAAAAATGCCACAGAAGCATTTAGAATAATTACAGAACGGCAGTAGCAAATACAATCATCCAAACAGCAACTATGTCTGTGTCTCTCTCTCTGTGTGAATCATGTTTTCACCCCTGTCCGTTTGTTTGTGGGCAAGATAAAACCAGAACTAGTGAAAGGATGTTGTATGGGTCAGGAAAGAACTCAACTTTTTGACTTTCTTGAACATTGTGAGATGGGACTTTTTTGACATTTTCATCGGTATCTATGAGTGTGAACAATTTGGTGCATCCATCCACAGCTCATCCTTGAAATGTCACGGTAAAAGCCGAAGCCAATCCCAGGTGGGTACAGGAGATTAAAACTGGAAACCTTCTAACCACCACCGCAGTTTGGTGCAGATTGGTTGAATTAAGGGGACTATGGGTCTTTGGCAGAGGAATAACTACATAAAGTTATTCCTAATTCTGATATTTCAAAATATTAAACATGAGATGATCGAATGAATCATGCACCATCATTCAATGTTAATGATTTTAAATTGAGACTCACGTGTACTGTAGAGCTTTGAGCTCAGGTCTAACCATGATGACGCACAAAACAACCTCAGCCAGTGGAAAATCCTATAATATATGTTTATTATGTTTATCAGCATTAACATTCTATGACCATGTGTAAATGCTGCTCATAAAAAAATGATTTATAAAGAACATATATATATATATATATATATATATATATATATATATAAAATATTAGGGACATATGCTAAAACATAAACCTGTCTTTTTTATCCTCACAATAATTCAGATATTTTTGAGAAGAATAAGAGGGAGCAGAATCACCGGATACAATGTTGTGAACGCAATGCATGATGGTGTATATTGCATACTACTGTTCACAATGCACTGAGATACATTTAGTCCACCATACGGTATGAAAATAAAGACCTGTTGATATTCAGCGTAGTGACTGTGAACTTGCCTCGACCTCCTTCCTTCAGGCAGTGTGAACAAAGGAAAGCTCCTGGGATGCAACACTAAACAGAGACAGCTTTACGCTCCCTGCATTCTTTGTTAATTAAATATAATATTGCCCACTTCTGTTTAATAGCCATATGTCACAGTTGGCGTTGGTTTTTAGGTGCTGCATCACATCTGAGGTTGGACAGAGGACGCTGGATTCTGCTGAAGCACTTCTCCTCCTTCAATGGCTTTCCTTTTTTTCCCTTTTTTTTAAATGGAGCCTGGCCCCAGCTCTCCATCCCCACCCATGAGTGGTGTTTCAATAACAGGAAACAATCGGCCATCGTCTTTCATCGTCAGGTTGACGTTGGTTCCCGCGCGGTGCCACTGGGTCTCTGTGGTGCCAGCCGGCCAGCCAGCCAGCGCGCCACAGTCCGCAGCAGAGGACAGACAGAGAGAGTTAAGAACAAGCGTTGACTCACTTGTTTCCTTATCGTCCTCCAAGGGGGGATCTGACGCATGGCCCTCGCGGCAGTCATATCCGAGACTGATACGAGGCGAACAGAGGCCCTCATTATAGACACATTTATTATTCTATTGGTGAAATCATACCTCACTTTTAAATGTGATCCAGGGTTTTTACTCAGAGTGAGGAAGTTAGGATTTAATGAAATGAGTGGTCCTGGTTGTGTATGTCTACCCCCAGCTGGTTACATTTTCTCCCGTGTTTGTTGGTGAGCAGGATAATGCAAAAGCTACAGAACCGAATACCATGTAATTTAATGCATGGGTGGGCCTGAGGAAAAACCCATTCAATTCTGCAGCAGATTCAAATAAATGGGCAGAATTTTTTATTTTTTATTAATTCAATCTGTGGCGGAAGAGGAGATGAAGGTCACGCTTCTGTGCAACAGGCTCCGAGTGACAGGTACACAAACCTGAGCATGAAAGACAAGTTCAACTAACACAACTGCAGCTGAAACCATGAGGTGTCACTGTCTGCTTGGACAGTGACAACTTTATGGACAACAGCACGAGCAGGCTCGAGGCAAATACCGCTGCAGACACAATGGTTTCATTATGAAACTGTGTCGGACCAGATAATTCAGTCTAGATAATCAATGGGAAACACTGCTTTGACATGGTGAGACAGAGCATTAGCCTCAGCGGAGGAATCAGCTCTCTGACTAATCATCTAGGTTTTTCATTACCATTTGACTGTTTGTTTGTATATTAGCAGGATAACACAAAAACGAAACAACTCATTTTATTGAAACTTTGTGGAGGGGTGCGATATGTGCCACGGAAAGACACATCAAAAGTTGGAGTGGTTTTTATTAAGTGGGTGGATCCAGAATTGTTTTTTTTCAGATTTACCGTATCATAGCATGGTCCTCCCACATTTTTGCGCTTCAACCTTTCTTATTTTAATACAGTAGAGACAAAAGTATTGTGTGTGCATTTATGCATTATGCAACCATGCAGTATTCATGCATTCAGTTTGTGTGTGGCAACTTTTGATTTTCTTTTTTGTCGAGGCTGCAGTATCATTTCCACCTCATCCATTTCTGTTGATACTAAACTGAAATGTGATATTAATAACTGCTCTCCTTGCAATAATGTCACAGTCTGCCGCAGCAGCAGTAAGAGCCCACGATTATACAGAGCGCACACATTCTTTAGGTTCATCTGCAGGAAGCCTCACACAGAAAGTCACGTTTGTAGATGTGCCACTTGATTATTAAACCATCTGAATAATCATCAAGTAGGTTTAAAGGACTTAACCATTACTTCTGCAAGCGGGTTGAAAAGAAATGAAGGTGCGGCACTTTATTTGAGGAAACCAAAAATAAATATGTTTTGCACATCCCTTCCTGTGTTGAAGGGTTTTGATTAAGTGCCTGAGTTGGCTCAGGTTGAGATGAGTATTAATATCAAATATTTCTGGTGCTATTTTTTTTATCCTACCACTGGAGGGCCTCTGAATTTAAAAATGTTAAACTAAGTAAATTGCCAGCTGTCTTGTCTGCTCCAATGTTCTGTACTTGCCACATCGAGCGGTGGTCCTTCAAATAAGCTTCTTAGGGGTTTGATCCTTTTAGTGCACAGTGACACACTCACAGTGTGTCTCACATGTCTCTGCTGTACGTGCTGGGTTCCATCCGCCACCACCTTTCTTCCACCTTTGTTTTGTACCTTTATTAGGTAAGAGCAGCATTCCTAGCATTCCGACAGCATCCTCGATGACTTCATGAAAGTGCTTACAGACGCCTTTTCTTGATTGACTTTCCGACAGACACATCCTGTCCCCTATTCCTCAGAAGCCGTTTTTCCTCTTCCTCATCCCGACAGCGCACAGTCATGATCAGAGCTCCCCTTGGAGGGTAGTCCGGATACCTGTTGCACTGTTTGCTTGGCCAGCTGGAAGTGTGTGTGTGTGCGTGTGTGCGTGTGTGTCTGTGTGGGTATGAGGAAGGTGAGAGGTAAAGGAAAACCTGGAGGAGTTGTGACCGTGATGAACTAAAGCTGCAGCAGCCTATCCTGCATCCTGTTGTGTCTACATGATTTCTGAAAAGAAAAACGTTTCCTTTTATCAACTTGGAAGGGCTGTTTACGTGTGTGTGTGTGCGTGTGAGTGTGTGTGTGTGTGTCAGGGTTAAGTATGTCATTGTTCACTGTTGCTCACATTGTCAGTAATATGCAGTCGATTGCACGTCACTGGAAATAAATTAACAAATCAAATCTGACGTGTTCTTCCTATATTTTAATTTTCTTCTTTTACATACACCACTTTATAGTTACACATGTACATCTTCATGAAAAACTACAATGTTTATGCGCTTTAAATACTGGGTCAGTAGAAATTCATGTCATCCACAGTGGCTGCCAATGCTCAACGGGATAATCACAGTTATTTTCCCATGATCTCTTGACTCTCGACGAGAGAAGACAGGAAAAAAACTGCGTGTTTGCTCCACAAAGAGCAACTTAAAGGTCAGGAGACGTTTGACCTCCTGTGCACGAGACGTCACAACTTTTATGAAAAAAACAAATGGATTTTCTAAATGCACCTTTGAGCGGAATCATTGTTGTGTAATTTAAAGTTGTAGATTGTTATTGCTGGAGTAGAAGTGGAGTTAAGGCATCTTTTCACCCCTCTGTTGTGTTACTCTTGTTGTTGTTCATGTTTTGTCCTCATGGTTTTGACACAGTGAGAATAAAAAGAATAAAACAACATCCAGACACAGCTCATCTAGTCACGTTGTTTTACTTCAGTGCATCAATAGCCTTTGACACTTGGCCGAAGACGTCGTCCACTGGCAGCTCAGAGTCAACCTGAGGCGAAACAAGAACAGATATATAAATAGAACAGTGTATGTCAGATTTTACACATTGTTTTATTTTTCACAGTAGAATGGCAGCCGCACTCACCTTCCTCACGATACCGCGGCCCTCGTAAAAGGCAATAACGGGCTCTGTCGCTTTGTAGTACAGGTCCAGACGCTTCTTGATGGTCTCCTCATTGTCGTCAGAGCGGCCGCTGGTCTCGCCGCGCTTCATGAGCCTCTTGACCATCGTCTCTGCTTTGGCGTCGACGTACAGCAGCAGGCAGGGTTTTCCGATCTGGGAATCCAAACAGTTGACTCATTTATGCTTGTTTCTTTCCTTTCATGCAGGGATGAATTACAGACTGACTCACGCCCTCCTCTTACCTTCTTCTCAAACTCCTCGCCCTGTTTCACCTCACGGGGGTAGCCATCGATAAGGAAGCCCTTGGAGACGTCAGCCTTGGCGATCATGGCGTCCTTGATCATGTCCAAAACTGTGTCCTGCAAGTAGGCCCGGAATATCATCACCAGCCCTCACCAAGGTATCACACAAATTCTGTTTGGTGCTGCACAACCATTTGATTTATCAGTACAAGTAGCTAAAAATACTTTTTGAAAAATGATCAAACTATGGAGTCGGTTCCTCTCTTACAAGGGGCACAAGCTCTCCCTTCTGCATGATGGCCTGGAGCTGCTTGCCCCTCTCAGAGCCAGAAGCCACCTCAGCACGGAGCAGATCGCCAGACGACAGGTGGGTGTAGCCGTACTTTACCACTATCTTCTCACACTGGGTGCCCTTTCCAGAGCCAGGCCCACCTGAAGAAGACGAACAGGAAGTGTTAGTTTAGTGGTTAAATGTGCTGCTGCTAAAAAAAAATCTGAGACAAAGCTCATGTAATGTGTACTCACCCACAACAAAGATGATCTTGGCATCTTTAATTTTGTCTGAAACGAGCACATACACGTGAGAGGTTGAATCAAACAACGTAGACAAACCAGGTTTAGTGAATAAATGAGGAAAGTCTCTTTTGAAACAAACCATCTCGATGGTGAGATGTCGAATCAGTGGTGCAAGTATTCCCCATGTGTTTTAGTAGCAGGACTCAGCTGTTCTGACTGTCTGTGCTATAACTCAAACTGTGTTGCCATGGCAACAGTTGTCCCCTAAGTAACTGCTAGCATGAAACTAGAGGAGCAGTTTGAGTTACATAAAGATCAAATAAATGTCAACAGTATTAGATGGATGTAATATATTTAGATTTTTAGATAATGAAAACACAGAATACTGACTTCTGACTATTTTATAAACTATATCATGCTTACTTTTTTACAAATATTGCATTTTGAATGAATACTGTGTCATAAGAAATAATCGTGTTGCTAATGAAATGTGATATTTTCATTTATTTCTTAGTATAAATGATATAACATATCTAAGTACAGTATCTTTAAATGTAACATGAAGACAGTCACTGTATTCTCAAAGACCATCACAAGAGGGAGGTAGAGTCCAAGAAACAACAGCATTTCAGCTGATAAATAATTTACAAACAAGCAAATCTTCATTCATGAAAAATCATTTGAATCAAACATGTATTATTTACCTGCCATTGTGTTGCGTTATGTGAGGACTTTCCTTCGACTAAAGGAGAGAAAAAGACACAAAATTAATTTCACTGAGGCAAAGTAATCTATTAATATAATAAATAACAAGTCACAATTTTTTCAGTTAGTCAGTTATTGTACAGTAACTGACACTGACACTATACTTATCTCTCTCTCTCTCTCTCTCTCTCTCTCTCTCTCTCTCTCTCTAGCAGTGTTAATCATTTTGATAATGTTATGTCAACATGTGAATGTACATAAAGAACAATTCTAAGCAGCATTTACAGTATGAGAGTCTCAACACCGATAAAAGTTCAACTGCAACCTTAATTAAAACGCTTCACCAGTTTAAAACCTATTAAAATAAACTCTAAAAATCTATTATCAAAGCTCTGTTTGAATAAAGAAAGACACAGGGCACAAAGGCACTCTGTGGAACAACTACACAACCTTTATTAGTGTAGCTAAAATATGGCAAAGATAAAAAACCGAAGCACCCATGGGCTGCAGCACACTTCAGGGTGTCTACGTGTTTTTTATTTTCTTGCCATCTTTCCTGTTTTTCACGCATTTTTAAAAACAAAGGGAGTCATTACCTAAATGCTGTAAATGGTGTTATTTAATGCTCCTAATTCAGAATAAGATCAATTCTAGCCCTTCAACATTTGATCAGCAGGAGTGTCCTGTAGTCATGTATTTTTTGTAATGACTTTATCTAAAGAGGACTTAGGCTTCCTGTTTACACATTTCTTTTAGCTGACTTAGAGACAGAAATGAGGGGAAGGAGGAAGGAGGAAGGCGGTTGGCTGAGTATTTGGGCCATGCGTAAAAAGATATTGTATCTTTAAGTGGCTGCCTGTGCCCGTGTCATGTGCTCCGGTTGAAAAACTTGCTTTGACAGGTGCTGCCCCGGCCAAAACAGTTTCTCCACAGGCCGAACACCACAAATGCTGTCACAGAGATTTTCACCTTTCCATACAGTTACGTTTACCCCAGATCTGGTTGTTGTGTTACTTACATCACGTACAGACACGTGTGTACTAATCAAGTAACCTGAGAAGTTGCTGCTCGGACTTTTTGTGAAACCAGATTTGTAAGAAGAAGCAAGCGGCTGATTTTTTACGTTACATGTTGTTATTTGTTCGTCAAGGAGAAAAGGTCTCGATATAATCAAAACTTTATTTGACCTTGCCACAATATGGCTGTTGACTCACTGGCACACACCTGATATACAAACAAATCTGTAACCTTAGTTCCAGAATGACTAATAAGTGTAAGAAAGGTGATATGTTTTATGTTTCTCTGCACCTACACTGCAGCAGAGAACAAAAAATCCTGTTGTCCTAATGACAGATTTCCATGTGTCCCCTGGTTTACCATAGTGATATATTTTAGCAGCATTCACACTGAATGATCCCAACTTGTTCTCTGGTTCTCAGGTTTACTGCTGCTTCTCAGGTGTCCGGTTTTATGTGAGCGACCATTAACCCTGTGGTTCGTGTAAATGTCACTTGGAGGCCGGCGTCTGAATCAGCACCGAGCCGGTTTGGGAATCTCACTCTGGCCTATTATGGTGCCATCTTTTGAGTCCTCCCCTGCTTCTTTGGCACTTACACCAAATACTTTGCTGTGAATTATGGAAGTGAAAACTATATGCAGAGAAATTGCCCTCATGCATTTCCCAGCTGAGGCCGTATCAGTGCTGGAGGCTGGATTTCGTCACATGGGGACAGAGCCCTCTGAATTTTATACACGGTCTGTTCAAAGTGCATGAATGTTTTACAGATGCAGAAATAACATAATACCATGAAACTGCAGACACATTAAAGAACCTGATCAAGACACAATCACATCCTTGATATTAAATCTACAGATACTAGATTCCCCCAAATGCCAAGTCCATCTCGTGCGTCTTATTTCACTTTTTTAAACATGCAGCCCGGCTAAAAAAAGACCCTGTCAGTCTGCAGCTGTTAAGAGATAGGGTGTCAAGTCGACCGCATGGGGATGAAGCTTTCACTCACTGGGCCCTGGAAGTATAGCAACAACAAAGTACTGAGTGTTTCATGCATTTGTACATTCTGCCCAAGCATGTTTGGTTTCTTAGGAACTGTGCACAGTAATTGGGCGTACTGTCCCTTTAAGGGAGAACAGGGGAACCTTTGACGTCAGTGCAGTGGAAGATATTCCATGTTGTTTGTGAGAGGATGGAGCGAGATTAATTCATTGTGTGTGTGTGTGTGTGTGTGTGTGTTCTAAACTGCAAACTTCCTCTCACAGGGATCGATAGCACTCAGCCACCCATCAGCTGCTCATGACCATTACTGAAGCTAAAAGGCATGACAGTGGAACTAGAATGTGAGCGCAGCTAGTGTGGAATTGCCCTTTAACGGGTGGAGGTGAATGAGAATGTTTAAATGTCATCAGGGTGGAGGTGGAAATAAATGTCTGGAGAAGAAAATCCTTTTTTGTTTTAGCAGAGCGACCTTCTATTGAGTGCCATCACTGTGACACTCACACACTCACACACATACGTATATAAGCTCCATGCCCTGCACAGAACAACCTGATCCTCTGACAGTGTTGAGCATTTTAAACAGTGTGGCGGGTTCAAGTTTGTCGAGAAGCCAGATGACAGTTCACCATTACAGTCTTGTGTCTTCTCCAAACCATCACACAGCCCTGCCCACTCTCGCTTCCTCTCCTCTCCCTCTGCCAGCGTTCACACCCAGTCCCTGCCATTCTGCTGCCCGCTCTTCCTCAGTGGAGCCTTTTGTCCTCTGTACTGACCTCTCTCTTCGTGCTGTGGCTCTAGATTCCAGTGCAAGGGGCTGCTGTCCCTGGATCCCCGTGAGTGTGTGTCTGCACAGTTCCTGCTGCACGGCAGCCCTCCCTCCCCCTTGCCATTCCTTTTTATAGCTCGGCTGAGCCTGCTCAGGCTGCGTTGCATTCTGGGTGAGAGGGAGGAAGAACAGGCGAAGGGAGGGAGGGAGCAAGAGAGAGAGGAGAGAATGAGTGACAGGGGGGTGAAATTGGAGGCAGGGGGAGAAGAGGAGAGGGGCTGTGGCAGAGGGTTTTGTTTCAGGTCATTATGTAATAAATGTCCACACGAGTGCATCCCGGCAGCGTCCTTTTAGAAATAAGATTTAGTGGTTTAATTATTATTTGATGGTGTGAATAGAGAGGATCACTACAACACTCTAACAGCACTAGGAGTTCGCTTGAAACTGGGAATATTACGCAACGGCTTTGGAGTGGGTGCAACCACAGGGAAGAAAAGAAAATCACAACAATGGAAAACAGAAGCTGAATAAAAATCTGTGTGGTTTAATAAATTCTTTACATTCTTTCTCACTCTTGGTCGTGCAAACAGGAAACTTTTTGGCCCTTTGTGCTTTGTTGTTCTTGAGAAATCCAGTCTACTGATTGTGTTGCTCTCAGTAGATCTTAATAAGAAGACTTATTTTCTAATATAATTAATGGGATAAAATTCTGTGTAACTTATGGAATTTTCCTAACCTTAAAAAAGAGGAATCTATAAGTGTAAACTTGAGACGTACCCTGTTAATTAACTAGAATTACTGCCCTGTAGTTGTACGCCTCCATTAACCAGTCCAGTATCAGTCCACATACATTTCTTTTCCAGACTCATATTAGGTCACCGTGACCTTCAACCACTGAAATTTAATCTTTGGGTCCAAGTGACAACTGGTGTCCAACATTTGAGGAGTCAAACTTCAGATATGATCATGAGATCAAACACATGTTTTGTGAGGTCACAGTGACTCTGACCTTTGAACATCAAATTATGATCAGGTCGTCTTTGTACCAAATCTGAAGAAATGCCCTCAAGGTTATCTTTGGACATCGTGTTCACAAGGCAACTTGTGGGCTTTGTGAGGTCACAGCTGCCTTGACCTATGACCTTTGAACACCAGATTCTAATCGGCTCATCCGTGAGTCCAACTGAACACTTCTACCAAATGTGTTTGTTGGCGGTGCAGAGGTCCAACTTCACAAAAACAGAGACCAACGAAACATCTGTAACATTTTATTAAAAGCATGAAAGGACATATTCACGTCCTCGTAATGGAACATAAATACAAAATATATTTATATGTACAAATTATGGCAGAGACAAACAGAAGCGTACCGAGTACTTTCTAAAAATGTTAATTCACAATAACCAGAAAGGAGGAAATATTAAATGGAGCTCCCAATGTGTCATTTATCAAAGAGAGATGAGTCAGAATCACTACAGTTGGAATGTGGTGCGTTCTGGTTCAGAGCTCAGCAACTCTTAAGGATTGAGGTACAAAAATGAGGTAAGCACTAATTCAGGATAAAAAGTTTTTTTCTTTTTTGCTCTGTACATTAAAATTAAAAATGTTAGGCATTTTTTACTTCACTTCCTTTCATAACAACAAATGAATAGAAAGGAAAATTGACTCTACCCCATGTTGCCTCTGCTGCTGCAGAAAAATAATTTCTAAGTTACAAGGTAGAAGTTTGCAAAACCTTGCAGCTGGAACCAGGTGAAAGATTTCACAGTTGTCGTACCTGGAGCAGAATGTTAGCGTTACAGTGCGGCCCTGCAAATAATCAGGGAAGGAAATGTCCTTCATTCCCAGCACTCTGTATTTTAACAGAGGTAATGCAACCTTTTGACCACATGGAGGCACTGTACCAGCACCACAAACTAGAACTCAATGTTCATGGCATTAGATTCTTCAAAATATGAAGCGCCCACCTGATGCATCTGCTTCTATTTCTATGTTAGTTAATGCAAAAAAATAATAATAATGGCAGTAAGTAGTAGTCTGTTAACAGATGTTCAGAACAGTATGGACATCACTTTTAAAAAACGAGAAGAGATATGAACAGGACGTTGAATTATCACACAAATCTAAATCTTAAAATCTATGAAATAAGCAGCTTGTTCCTATCATTTGGCCAGTAACCTTGGTTACTACATAGTGTGTGAAGAGGCTGATGCATTTATTTAAAAAATGCATAAATACACATAATAACAGTCCGTCTTGACTTTTTTGACGGAAGTGAAATGTTGGTTATCGATCCTGTTCACTGTGACAGAAACGGTTTGTTTTAACACTGGGAGGCCGCACTTAATACTGTTACTGCACAAATAACACTAGTTCTCTAGGAGCAGTGGGAACCACACAAATCAAATGATAAAAGCAGCATCGATCAGAGGGACTGAATTAACACAATTTGTTGGAAATCCTAATGTTTCAGTGCAAACCTACAATTTTTTCTTTTATTTCCCTAAACTCCGCTTCCGTCATTGAATCTCTGTGATTTCCACGACATGATAAGATACTGCGTGTCCGTCATGTGCTTCTAAAAACCACAGCTGACACCAGTGAATACAATCTTGAGTCTGAAAAATGCTGATTAAGGCATTAGATTGAAGACACATTTTCACCTTTCAAACTCAACCTTGTGTTGTCTTCATCCCTCAACCACCTCCCATCTCTTCTGCTTACATGTACACACATTTAGAGCATAACACACTGAGAAACATTTCATAGGTTACTGCCTATTGCACATGGAATTTTGTCTTGTTAATAAAACATGTTAGTTCAGCCTTAGGTGTTGTTTTTCATAATGTCGGTTTGTCCTTTTCATTTTTCTTCTGCTTTTATTTATTTTTTTACTTTCTTTGACATGAAGTTGTGCAGTGTTATTCACCGAGTCCTAGCTGGAGAATCCGCCAGGAGGCTCCGAATCAGGGGACTCGGCGGCGTCCTGGTCCTCTGAGGGCAGCTGGACGCGCTGCTCATCCATTCGCTTGGCCTGCACCCTCTGGATCAGACTGAAGAAGTCCTCGTCTGGGACCGTCGGAGCGTGGGGGCCAGCCTCTGGTGGGGAGCATCGCTGGTCATCAATCCTGGAAGACTGTGGACAGGAAGATGAATACATTTAGGGAGGGGAGTGAAAAATGTGACAAACATATAAGTCCATGTTTAACTTTTACTTTAGACCCTTTGTTTATAGCTAATAATTTAAGAATATAAGAGGATCGAACACTTGAGTTCCCATGTGAGTGGTGTTCTCACCTGGCACTTGATTAGCATGTTGAAGAAGTCATCGCTGGGCTCTTGATGATCTCCCTCGCCCACCAGGTGTCCCAGGTTGTTATGGGTAATCCTCAGGCCTGGGAGGTTACCAACATTAACCCGCTGGTCGTCGAGGCGGCGGCTCTGAGAGCTGGCGATCAAATCGAACAGCTCCTCAGTCTGGGGGGAAGTGGTAATTGCAGGGTCTAAGAGGAGAGGGAGGAGCCCGGTTAGCGTAAATCTTCTTCAAATTCTGGTCCCATTTTGAATATAATAGACAAGAACGTGCATCAATCACATGGTATCCATCATGTGATTGACAGCTAGTACCATCCAATGGGTACAGGTTGCAGATATATGTGGGCGTGTAGTGTCCTTAAGCTCTCAGTCAGCCCCCCCACTCCTCCAAATATATTGTACTTACTTCTGGTTTCAAAATGCCAAAATGGCACTGGACGAATTGAAGCTCCACTGACCTATCATGTCGTTCAGAGGTGGCACGGAGTTCGCAGCACCTTCGCCGTGGTCCCCGTTCTGCGTCTCATCAAGGTGGCAGCGCTGGTCATCCATGCGGCTGCTCTGGAACTTGCTGAGGAGGTCGAAGAAGCAGTCTTCATCGGAGGGGTCACGGCCCAACTTCTGAAAGAAAAAAGAAAAAAAACTGAATATTGCTCCCTTATCTTAAAATCCTGTCATTACCTGATGTTGGTTAGCAGGATTAAACAAAAGCTACTGAACGTATTACGGATGTGGTGTGGCATCCAGATCCTTGCAGATCTTTGCATCAAGAGATGGGTGTTTTCCAACATTTCCATTGATTTCTCATAGATGGATCTTGACTGATATCTATCAGTGTAAAGTATTTGATGCATACCCACCCCAAAAAAACAAGGCGTGGTTTAACAAGGTGACTGTTGGGCATTGGCATTGCTATGCATCCTTTGAGTGCCCTTCTTTTATTTACTTTAATATATAATATGGATACCCCCCTTTTCAAAGAAGCATTTCCTCCTACAGGATTCACTCTTTCTGAAAAGCTGAGATGTGACACTTGCGTGTGGCTTCACTCTGCAGCAGGAGCCAATCCCAACTGACTTGGTTTATGAAAAAAAAGAATGTGGTTCACTTAGTTTTTCCCGGATGACTTAGTTATGTCGAAACCTTGCCTTGATCCAAGGAACATGATCCGCAGGTGAAATCATTAAACTCAATTCCATTATGAGTTGCATAATGAGGATCACGAAGACAGCCAGCTTGTGTGGAGGTGATTAACTCATGAGGGATGGGCCTTCCTGGTGAGACTACCTTGACCTACATACCGAAGCTGGGACAATATCACAGAATGTAAAAATAAACAACCCATTTACACGTAAGTAAAAACAGATCATGTGGTGGAAACTGGAAAATCTGATGGGACTATGGAGAAATGAAGCTGCTTTTTGAGGTTATGCATTTTGATACGTTTTTGCAAATGTTTCGCTGTTTTTATCCTTAAGTTCCATTTTTCACGTTTTGTTGTTTTGTTGAAAAGTTAAATATATAATAATAATAATAATAACTTGTCGAATAAATAAAAGATTAAAATATAAAATATGATATCTTGCCATATTTAACTGTTACAATTAAATATTCCTATTCAGTTGTTTTTTTTTACATAATGAGGTAAAAGTGATATTACACATAAAATGCTTCCTTTAGTTTTAACTTCCACTCATTAGCAGCTAAGCCTGTAATGTGTGTGCAACTCTAATCAATAATCAGCTGATCAATAAATCAATCACTGTAAAGCCAAGTGATTAAAGTCCACTTTGTGTTAGTGATGCTCTCACCCACTGTCACAGTCTGGATAATTGTGTTGCAGCTCTGCAACTGAAGAAGATTAATTCATTTATAGACAATGATTTGGCTACAAACACACCGAGATAGAAAACTATATAAAAAAAATAGATTATGTTCCATCAATTATAAAAAAGGCAGGTCTTGTGATGCTGACAGGAAAAACTGCCAACAGAGATCAGATAACAGCAAAAACAATACAATATAAAAAACAAGCTTTACAACAGCAGGTTGAATCATTCTTCCTCCAACTTATCCTCCAAAACGGCTTCTCTAAGAAATGGCTTAAGTCTGTATCCAGGACCAGGTTTCCTCTCTGGAAAACTGCACAGTAGAAACTGTAATATCCTCAAATGGAACATGAACTGTTGACAACAGATGATAAGCTGTAGCCTAAATTTTAAAAAAAAATCAATACAATTGTTTTTCAGTTACAATAAAGCAGCCTTTCCAAAAATTGTCTTAGAATCAATAACTAAACAAATTAGATTCCATCCAAATTATTTTAAACAAATCAGTTGTTATTAATATAGTTCCATTGTTTTGTAATGGATGACATGTCTTCTCACGCATTTAAATTTCAGCTAAGCTTTAGTTCACTGTAATAAAGTTTTTTTTTAGATCCCTCTTTAGCTTCACACAAAACATTTTACACCCCTGTAATAACAAACAAAAACAATGACGCAGCAGAGGTCGCGGCTCATCCTCATTAAAAAGACTTTTTGACGACACTGCTCCTCCCAACCACGCCTCAACAAACTAACTCACATAACAATGACACTATATTAACTCCTGTTTAAAAGACCAAAACAAAATAAGATTTAACGGAAACTAGTTGATGAATTGAAAACCACTTTGCCTATAGCAAAATGTGCAGCAGGTCAGTGTCAGCAGACTCCTGATATCAGGCCGCTCTTGTTTAACAATATCTACTTCTCCACGGCTACGTTTTCTAGAAAATCCCAACATGGTTCAACGAACAAATCCAAGCTTTACTTGTTTAAACAGTGGAACACCTCTCGACACAACACAACACACTGTTGCTCCACACTTTCATGTGTCAAACGTCTCAGGGAGAAAAGTTAGTAACCTCTGGTGTCCTTTGCACCGTCTTGTTATTCAAGCTGTAAAACATAATTAAATCATCTTACCAGCGGTACTTTGTCTTTGTCCTCTATCTTTCCGACTCGCTCTCTCTCTCACTTCTCTCTGAGCTCCCCCCCCCTCGCTCTGTCCACACAAACCTCTCTCACACTCCCCCCTGTCTCCCCCTACTTTCTCCCACCACTTAACATCACTCTCTCCCTCTCTCTCTCTCTGCTCTCCTGCTGTACTCAACTCCCTCCCTCCAGTTTCCTCTCCTTGTCTATCCCTCTATTTCTTCCTTCTTTTTTTATTCTCTACCATCCCCTCACTCCTCTCTCTCTCTCTCTGCAGCTCTACTGCAGGCCATTTCTGTCCTGTCCGGTTCACTGTGGGAAAACAACTCATTATGGGAAGCAAATGGGGGTGGGGGGGCTGACCCTGTGGGGAGGATGGCGGTTCTGTGATCAAGGTCACATTATCAGGAGAGAGGAAGAGCTGGTGGTGGCGGGCGAAGGGGAGAACTGGGGTGTAAAGATGGCTCCATCTGTGAGTAAATTGCACGCCAGCATCGGCAGCCAGCGAGAGACGATGGCGGCGCATTAAAAAGACGACTCTGTGGCTGTTATTTATTTTGATCAGGTGTGACTTATTGCAGTAGTGTCCTTGTCTCCCCATGGCCTCCATGCAGATCAGCTCACTTCCCTCTTCTGCATTGTCCATTTAATCAAGTAGGCCAGATGGAGAGAACAAGGGAGAGAGGAACACGTGATGGTGAGAGAACGAAAGAGGCAGGAAGACAGTGACAGAAGTAGGGGAATCAATTTGTGTGTGTGTCTGTGTGTGTTCCACGGTTACATTACTGTGAGGTAATGTCGTCATGGATGAAAACAGATGTCATAAGCTATTTATTTCAAGCTTTATTTCTAGATTATTTGAAAGTGATTAGATTGTATAATTTAATTTGCAATATTGTCCATTGGTTTAAAATGTCAATTTCTTAAAATAAAAAAATATGTGTTAATGGATTTTTTGACCAATTGAAACGTGGCATTGGAAAAAATAAATCAACTTTACTTTTTTCAGTTGACAAAACATAAGATGAAGAAAGGAAAAATAAAAAAGCTAGAAGGTGAACTTAACTTAATCATGATCAAACCTAATCCTTATTTGATGGTTCCTCAAGTTGGTGTACCATTTATTTTGAACATATTCCGATAACATCTCTTTATATTGCAGATACAGTAGCTCCTAATGTCATCACGAGGTGGATTTCTCTCTGCCTTATAGCTTTAGCAAAGTGCAGCCAAAGTTCACAGACCCACAGCTGCGTTTAGAAAATTGGCAGATTAAAAAAAAAGCGTATACTTAAATTTCCTGTGTCCCCTGTGACGAACCATCATCCTGCAGCCCAGTAATGTTCTCTTCTCTTTTCTAGGACGTCAGGCTCCTGATTACAACAATTAGCTTTGTCACAGAAACAGCCATTAGATGCTGTGAGCAACACTGAATATCAGGGATACAGCTGTGAAACTGTATCTTTATTAAGAATCTAGTTCACAGCATGGATCACCGCTGGGCATTTAATAAGATACCTACATAGCCGACATCTTACAGAAGCTCCTGGGAAATTAAAGGAAGTGTTCCCAATTTAAACTCTAATGTCTAATTTTTCCTCGTGATTTCTTCAATGCAGAAGCCCTGAAGACGAGTCAGAGAGGGGACGAAGAACAGAGAAAGCAGGAAAGGGAATTCAGCAGTCAGCGTGTCAGATCCCCTTGATAACGTCTCCCATATTTCCTCAGTTGGGCTCTCATGGCTCAAGGACAAATGGCTGGAATATCTTCAATTTAAAATGAATTATGATTATTACAGATGTTGGTGAGATGCTTTATATTTGAGGCCCGCAATTTCAATTAGAGCTTGTGCAGTGTTTATCTGTTATCGGCAAAAAACACTGTGCCGTGTATCTGCGCAGTAGCGATGGAGCAGCGGTAGCGAGGCCCCACGGATGCATGGGCTCAACCAAGAGTCAGTTTCACTTCATCTTTACAGCGTTGGATAACTGATTAAAACCGTAGAAGTCTCTAAAATGACACAAACAAAAAAATATATATTTGACTCACTGGCACTGGAGGTGGAACTTGCACAGTGATGTCATCAGTGTCTACCGGAGAGTCCAACCACGGCCTTTCGTCCGACGACTGACTGTCGGGGTAGCCTTTCCTTTTGCCGGGCTGCGACAGCTGACTCTTGGATCTCCTGGGTATACTCTCCAAGTCTTGGTTCTCACCGTTCTGCAGCAAAAAGGACACATTGTTTGGTGAGGGCTCGCTGACGGTTTGGTGGAGAAGTGTGGGTATCACATGTTACTCACACAGCTCTCTGTGGACTGAAACGTGAGGGAGAGAAATCACCTTATCAGAAGAGTACTTCCACAGCTCTACACTGTCCATGCTGTTTCTCTTGGTGAATTTGGGTCTTGCTCCTATTGAAAAAAAACATATATATGTGAATAAACATAACATTAAAACATCCAACAGCTTTAGAATTTGCTTCACTTGCTGATTCAAGCATGCAAGAGGCTCTTTGTTTGTCTTCTTCATTCTGCAGCGGACTATAATGTCAGTAGTGGTCCTGTGACGTGCACGGAGGCTATGAGGTTTACAATCTGAGCAAACAATCTGAATAAGGGTCTGTTTGCCAGCTCTGCACCAGGGAGGAAAATGTGGGACATGGGTGTGAGTTTCTGCCTGGAGAAGGGTCCATGAAACAAACATCACACAAAAGCCAGGCTGACTGCAGAGATAAAGACTGTCCAGTTCCTCCATGCTTTCATTATACAAGTTGTCTCGAGTGGATCATTTGAGGTGAATTAATAACAATCAGCTTTATCTGAGGATAAATAAGTGTCTCTGTGTTGCATTGAAAATGTGAAAGTCCCCTGGCTCTCTGTCCCATTTAGCGGAGTCAGTCAAAACACAACACGTGTCAGCCTCACCTTAAGTCACCTGCACTTGACCTATAGTTATCAACATGAACAGTGTTCTGACTACTCTCAAGAAAACACACCAAATGCAGAGTGGAATAGATCAGAATTTCAAATTATTATTTAAGATCTAAAAGTGATTAATAAAAATCTCATATTATTCAGTTTTAGTTATTCAGATTCCAGTTATTAAACCCCTGGGTTTTAACCCATTAGCCATTGTTCTGTGTTGGGTAAAAATTCGGAATGTGACCGGATATAAGTTTGAATTATGACCATATAAGGGTCTTAACAGCAGACATCTTAATTTGACACCACTATATTTGTATTGTACCGCGATTAAAGAGCAAATTCAAATTTTATTTAAATAATAATAATAATGTATAATATTAGTTTTGAAAAACATTTCACAATTTTACAATAGTTATAATTAATGCAACTTAAGAACAAGGACCTTCACCCATAGAAATGTTTCTATGACAAAATAAATAAATGGTATTAAGGGTCATTCCATTGGTAACATCCACTAGGAGTTCATGACGAAGTATCTCTTAAATCAAACTCTCTTTGTGATTTATTATATTTGTGTGTATATGCTCCTGTTTAAAAGAAAATTTCCACATTGAGAGATAATGCTTATTTGCTTTCTTTGTTTTGCAGAGAGTTCAATTCGGATATCAATACCACTCTTGTGTCTTTCCTTAAAATACAAATCGACTGGGAATAGCTATAGCCTGGCTCTGTCCAAAGGTGATCTGCCAGCACCTCACTAATTAAATACAAATAAGGCAGAAAGAACTTGGAGTGTTACCTTGCATCTCAAACTCGGAGCTGGAGGGCGAGAGGTCGCTCTCATTGACACCCAGAACCTCCATCAGCTGCTCCACGTTCATCCTGGCTGTCAGTTCCCCATTTCTGTCTCCAATCTGAGGGAGAAATACAAAGACAGGGACATGGACTAAATTCATTAGTTCAAATACAAGAAGACTTAACTCAAGCGAAGATTATTTTTTAACAAATACTGTGTCGCACCTCCTTCGAGATGTCCAGGTGCTTTCGTGCATAGTGAAGAGCTTGTTTGTGGTTCCCTAAAGACACATATGCATTTCCCAGACTCCAGCAAGCACGGCCCTCACCAACCCTGTTGAAGGATAACCACACACACACATATTCATAAAATGATTCCTCTGCTTATGCATGTTAGTGTGTGCCTGCATTAGATGTAGTTTACGCAAACTGTACCTGTCAGTCAGCTCCTGGGCGATATACAGGTGTTTCAGATGGTAGTCTATGGCCTTCTCATACTGCTGCAGAAGGGTGTAGGTGTTTCCCAGGCTGTAGCAGGCCTGAGCCTCCATCACCTGGTCCCTCAGCTGCCTGGACAACTGCAAGGTTTTCCTGAAAGAAAAGAAAAATGAATGTAAAGACAGAAATGAAGGGAGGTTTTATGATGAAGACAGAAAAAAAAAAAAAATTCTTTCTTGTGTTTTAAGAGTTCAAATCACACATCAGAATCCTTTATATCTGATGTTCCATTTGTACGTCAGTGTCCTTTTTTCTTTTGCATTTCACCCAACCTCCACTAGATGTCACACTGCCCTCTCTCCTCACCTGTAGTACTCTGTGGCTGTGTTGAACTGGCCCAGGAAGATCAGGGCATTGCCCAGGTTACTGTACGCCCGCCGCTCTGCTGCCTTGTCCCCAAATTCTTTGGCAATGGATAATCGCTGTGAATGAAACAGCAACGAGGGTCAAGTCCAACCACAATAGCACAATTTATCCATTCTGTTTCTTAATTCAATAAAAAAAACAAAAAAAAAAACAAGTTCAGGTTCAGGTTCAAATTTATTATCACATCATTTTAGTTTCCTTGGGACTTCTTTTAGTGTTCAAGCACAGGCTGTTACACTGGTTCAAGCTGTGAGCTCTGCTGAGCACATCATTTCATGACCAGAGGTGCTGCTGCAGCAGTGGTGCATCAAATCAACCTCTCTGCTTGAGAAGCAGCATGCTCTCCTCTGTGGCACACTGATAGATCTGTGATGGGGGATCGAGAACGCCTTCTCCCATGTGCAAACAAGTGGTTTACAATGGAGAGTGACAGGAAACACATGCGAGGATAGCCTGAAGCCATTCTTACCAATGATTCACCAGAAACCAATTTCCTCCTTTTTTTCTTTCTTCTAGGGGCTATCAATCTCTGCACACTGTGTGATGGTACAGCACGACATGGATCACAATCCTCTTCCAAACTCAGGGAGGTGAAATTTGCTCGCAAAAACCATGGAAGAGGTAGCAGCACCTGCTATCTTACATTAGCACTGCACTAGGAAATAACACACATACTGATGAAACAGTATGTTGTATTCTCACTCTATCCCTGTCCTTGCATTCCCTGCATAGCTGGCAACAAGCACAAGGACAGTTATTATTTTATGTAGTTTGCATAAAAATGGATTCAGTGAAATGAAAGTAATCAACACTTTATACACAACAATATACAAGAGGTCAGTTCCTCCTTCTCTCTGGAAACTAAATACTTTTCATGTAAAATTAAATTATCCAGACTGAAGTCAGTGCAAACTAGGTAAGAGCTTTCTGTCTTTAAAAAGGAGTTTTATCTGTGCACATATAAATAAGTGTGCCTGCAGGTTGGCTTGTGCACACAGTTTACAGCAGTGACACTGCACATCTTCATCGTCAAATTAATCATTCCTCAAGTGTCTTTCTTTGTTCACTACATGTAAAACTTGGTCTGTCATAAAGGATGAAGCTCAACTTTAAGATCAACAGACCACTGTCATCAGGGTTGTGTAATTTTTAATAACAAACATAATCCACGATCAAAGTCACAACCACCTGCTACTTATGGTTGTTATCACTTATTAAATTCAGTGGGAACTGCTTCTGGGCTGCTAATGACAGAAGTGAAAAAAGACACACAAGTCAAATGAATAGATCAAACCTAGAAACTTGTTCAGTACTGCGATATTAAATTTAAGTTTCAATTATCTTTTATTAATTATTTGATGAAAAGAATGCACTGAATATAATTCCCCTCTGATCAAGTCCACAAGTCCACTTTATACACAACCTGCTGCAGATAAGAACATGGCATCTACAAAGTCACTGAACAGCTGCAAGGCAAACAACCTTGTGTCACTTATGAAAGTTAGTGTGCTGTTCTGGCTCAATAACAAGGCTGATCAATCATGTGACGCGAACACGATGCTGGTAAACATTGTGTGGATTCTCACCTGCCGATGGAACTTGATCGCTTCGACAAAGTTTCCCAGCAGGTAGTGGGTGTTTCCCAGGTTCCCGTAAGCTCTCCCCTGAGCAGCTCGGTCTCCAAGTTCTTTCACCAGACACAAGTTCATCCTGCAGAGGAATGTAAGCACCACTTAAGTAGCTTTATGTAAATGATCAGTAAATTTAAATATATGCAGCCAAAGTACTTGTTCGACCGATGATCATGCTGTCATTGGAAAGCAAGTAACTAAAATAAATCCTGTGTTAATAATAAGATTAACTATGCCACTGATATGATGTGCAAATCTGCAGGTATATTAAGAGAAAAACTCAAATCCAGATGTGGTGGGCAGTCCCAGACAAATTGAAGAACAGCTGAATAACCACCAGAGATGAGTCAAAGTAGTAACCCGGCCTATTTCAGTGATATTTCTGTGCATAGTTAAAACTAAATTTCTGCATTTAATTAATTTTGATGCCACAAAAAGCAGTGAAATTCTATTTTCTATGCTGTGACTGTGTTTACTGTTGTGCACAGTCTCCAAACTGTCAACTACACATACTCATAAAATCCAGTCGCCCTTTGCAGTGTGTCTCTGACATCAGCAGGCAGGTCCCCCGGCTCCTGGGTGCAGCCCCATAACTGCTGTTTGCCCTTTGCATGAAACACATTTCCTATGTTGTATAGAGCTCGCGCTTCTCCAACCTACAGCCAGAAAATAAAGAGATGAGCAAAAGAAAAAAATGTAATTGCCAACAATTCAGTCGTACTGTGTCAGATGGAATTTAACAATATTTGTAAAATTGCACCGTGTACGTCCATCTTAACGAGCAGATATACAATATAACCAACATACAAAGGTCTCAATGTATTGGTGCGTCTGAAGAACTTTTAAGGAGATGATATTGAAACAAAATAAAAACCTGCATGTTACCTTGTCCCCCTGCTCTTGAGAAATATCCAAATGTCTCTGACAGCAAACAACAGCCTCATCAAAGCGCCCCAACACCTTTAACGTGTTACCAAGGTTTCCGCTGGCTTTTCCTTCTCCGATTCTGTCTCCTATTGTTCTGAGAAAGCAAACAAAGACATATTGGGTGTTAAGTAACCAAGAACACAGTCGTTTAGTTAAACAGTAGCCATTAGGAGAGATGCCTAGTAGCATAATTTTTAATTGGTTGCTCGCTTCCGAGGACCAGGTCCCAGTGGCCCTGGTGAGACTGTAACTTAACAAGGTAAATCTCCTCCGGGTCTTTAATCACTTCCCTGCTGAAATACCAGCTGCACTCACTGCAGGGGAGCAGATTACTCATACGAGCATAATACCCAGCTGCTCCTTGTTGACTCTTACTATATGAAAGTCCCCTCACTTTTCTTGGAATATTCATCGTCTGAATGAATGACAACAAAATTAAATCAGCTGATGATCCTTTTTGCATTTGATACATTAAATCAAATCTGTTGGAGACAGTGACCTGGTTCTTTCACGTCTGACAACGTCTGTATATAGAAGAGTCATAAACACATCGCTCAGACAAAGGTAAACAGCTCAGCATTGAGTCGTTACACAGCTTCAGAGCTTTATTTAAATTATCAACAATAACTATTTATCATTGATTACTGTCTATTATCAGAACAAATGACATTTTTTTCGTTTAATTGCTGCCACTCAATTATTCTAAACTGTATTGTTAGATGTCATCATTGATGACTCAAAAACATACACACAGAGACACACACATACACACACACAGACACACACACTCACACACACAAACACAATCTCTAAACAGCATACCACTGATGCAACCGGGAGACACACTCAGTCCAACGATATCGCTATCCCANGTGGCATGTTTTTTTATGGGATTCATCAAATATTTTGGGCAAACAAATAAAAGAAGCTTCTGATAGCTAAAAACCAGTACCGGAAACATAGGGGCATTGTTATGTATTTAGGTAGCAGCTATTAAAAAGGAGAATCTGAATGATTTATCAGTTGGTTGATAAAATTAGAAGGGCACTTAAATTTTACACAATAAACAATGTAGATAATACTGTATGTGCATTTATGTTTTCAAGCCATAAATTTGTTTTCTCTCTTCATATTATAATTATATCGCATCTGTATAAGATGTTTTAGAGCATTTTTACTCTGTAATAACGGTGTTGGCAGAGGCCCCTAAAATTCAATATCAGTCAGGCTCAATTAAAGGACTTACCTGGCCAAGGTTAGGTCATGTCTGTGGTATTCCAGGGCTTTGCCATACTCCTTGAGGTAGAAGTAGGCATTGCCCAGCTGGCTGTAGATGGCACTGAGGGTCTTCAGGTCTTCTGTGCCGACCTGTACGGCTGCCTCGAAGAATGCTGTCCCACCTTTAAAATCTCCAGCCTTGCACAGCCGCTCTCCTTCCAAGGCCAACTCCAAGCAAGAAGCCTCCATCCTAAATGTTGCACAAACAAACAGGTAACTATTGTTAAACAGCGGACATGGTCAGTGAAGTCAGTGATATGGGCCCTTAGTACTGAGGCAGTGCAACTTCTCAGGGCAAGCCACAAATTGGCAGTATCACCATGACAACAAGGTCTAGCCATATCCGTGGACTGTTGCCTTAGCAACTGAGTTCAAGCTCTAAGATGAGCACCTTGAAAAAGGTGTTACACTTTTCATTCATTACCGCTCATATGAGCCTGATTTTTCACGAGCCGCATTTATAAAGACAGGTTTTTTCTTTCCGTATGAAGCCGATGATGAAGAGACGTAAGACTGTAAGCTAATGTCAGACATTATAGTGTGTATGGTAAATGCTTTCTATGACTTGGATAAAAGAGGTAACCAACATGGTAAAGGATATTTGTGTCTATTGACAAGTTCCATATTTTCTGAGGACATATCAAATAGCAATATAAAATACATGTGGCATTGGATAGCATGTACAAATCTGGCCCAATGTGAGCACAGTCGCAACCAGTGCAATAAGGGGTTTCATCAGTGAGTTGTATCCAGAAGTATACAACGCAGATTAATTGCATAATCCAGGATGAACTAAAGACCAGCCAATCTTGTTGCAGCTCCAAATTTCAGATAAGGTACTCGAATGTATAGTTAAACCAGGATTATCCTCAAAACTAATCAGTTTTACAAAAGTCACCATAAAGAGGTATGGCAAGCAGATGCACACCACAGTGATGTTTGTATCATATATTAAAACTGTAATGTACTTCTGGCTTTCAGCTTGCCAAAATTTGGACTTTCACTAACCCTAATGCCAGAATGATGAATTATAACAGTCATTTACCAGCGTAGTTACCATTGGTCATTAGGAAACCAAGCGACAAGATGAACACAGTTCTTGGCAGTACCTGTGCTTTTTCTTGCTTCGTACTTTGTCCACATACACCTGAAGCTCCAAGTGTAAAGGCTTTAGCATGGCCTGAGGTCGGGGTCCACGGTGGACAAGTCTACATATCGCTCTCTCTGCCGCGGTCAGAGGGCAGGGCGCAAAAGCCATGAGGGTTAACAAACAAGAGCTACGTCAAGAACTCTACACAGAGATTGCAGTCCATGCAAGTAGTACACTTAAAATACAATGAGACTATGAGTGATATGATTTATATAGATGGGATTTCCAACTACAAAAACAGGTCTACATGAAGTCAGTATTGTCCACTGAATAACTCCAGTAGAATCTACAATGTCAGCAACATTGTAGCAAACCTGGACATATTCCAGCTAAAAGCTCTACACGCAGTCCGAGAGCAGCCAAGAATCACATCTGCTTTTCAAGTCCAGTCCTCGAGAACGTTCCAGAAAACCAAATGTTGGACCCTCTGCTCCCGAAGCCGAGACAGTCAGGAGGGAATTGTAGAAAATTCCACAAAAGACCAGTTCCATTTAAAAATGTTTTTCCAAGCAAAAACATGTTGGTCAAGAGTCTACAAAGGGCTTGTTTCACATATCCAAGTAGACCTCATGCAAAAGGTTGAGATTTTCGGTTCTAATCCCCCGAGAAGAAGTGTTCTCTCTTTTGACCCTTGTCAATCTGCCCTGAACTGTGACAGCCGGATCCACTGTCTCGTCCTGCTACACTTTAAAAGAGGAAATGTATACTATAGGGGATCATTCAGGGGTAAGACCAGGAGGGGGTGAGACCCGTGAGCTTGACCAATGCCCCAATGAGAGACAGAGAGGAAGGATGAGATTCACTGGATGAGCGGATTGCTAATCCAGTGACCTGAGGCTCGTTGCTGGAGACCACACAGCACAGTGAGTGGCCCAGACTAATCCAACTCTCTGCTGACAATAGCAGAAACTTCATTGGGTCACCGGCCAGGGCTAATAAGACTGTGTGAAGGGGACGCAAGGATATGAATGAAAACACTGGACTTGTACTTATATTTATCTATTCTATTCACTAACATCACAACTGTTCTTTTCACTACAAAAAATGGTGGGGGTCAGTGTAGCTAATAGTTCAGGTGAAACAACCATAGGAAGACATTTCGAGAAAGAATTCACCATCTATATCACAAAGTATTTAATTTCCTGACAGACTACAGCCACGTACAACATGGCCTCCTTCTTTTTGCCTCATTCCTAAGAGGTAGATAATCACAACCTTCTCTGCCATCACCATGTTTGATTTGTTAGAAAGTATCGACTCCCGCTGCTGCTTCCCTCTAGTGGATGCATTGCTTAACAGCAATGACAACATACAAGACGCATGGAAATATATAGGCAGTGACGGTTACATTGTTTCAAAACTAATTCATTTTGTTTCGTAGGTAACAGCAGCATAAACGAGCCATTAGAGCAGGACAGGACTTTTTCACAGCAGCCATTTAACTTGTTATGATCATTAAAATCCCATTTGCTAAATATAACAACAAACAACAACAAATGCTTTGGTCCTATTCAAGTGTCCCAGTGAGCCGTGTCAGGACCCTGGAACTCAAGAGGCTAAAATGGAATTCAGCCATCAATAATTTTATGATTCACGGGAGTGCTTTTGTTTCTGGTCTTCTTGAAAAAAAGAATAAGAATGCTGTAATACAGACGTAATAAAAAGGAAATATACCTGCATAAGAAAAGGTCTGGCGCAAGTCGAAGCTGCCCTCATATCACCCTACGCTAACACTCTCTCACTTGTCACTGGTACAGTATCATCAGCCTTAGAACTGCTGCTACTACAACCGCTCAGTTTTTACCAGTGGCTCTTCTGAAGGCAATAAACATTGAAAATAAAGTTTCCAAAAGGTGAAATGAAATGTCCAAACTGCCTTTATCATAACGAATGATGTGATGACTTACTGTTGTGGGAGAAACACATCCAGGCCCTGGGGTAAAAGCACTCCAAACAACTTTTTGGAGAGATGGCAATAACATCACTCTGTAAAGGCGGACAGAGGTGGTTACCAATGTAGAAAACAGTCAATAAAAATGTGCAAGGTCGTGTCCTCTGCATTAAATAAATGGATTTAACAGCAGCAGCTACCAGAGCAACAGTCTGGGTTTTTATGGGGGGAAACTCAGATCTGAGATCCCTCAGCTAGAATAAATGGAGGGAATACAGGATGGAGGTAGAATATAAAAGAAGATGAAATATTTCACTCACAATGAGGCTAAAAACTTTTCATCTATGCAGTCAATGGTGGAGGCTTTGGAAATATATCCATGCGGTGTCTTCAAGGAAAGTTGAGGCAATTAGCTACATGGGTGTTGTTACCAGACAAAGGACCGCAGATGTCCAGGTGCAGACGGTGGTGGGGCGTCTGTTAACTACCACCAAGTTGTAAAACCTTGAGTTTTCATGGTTTGGGGAAAGTGGGTGTAGCCTTAAAAAGGCCTAGCGACATGGTTAAAGAACTTCAGCTGTGCAGTTGTAAAGTCAGAGGAAAATATATCATCACTTATCAAAGCCAAATTGGTAAATGAAAAGTACTGCATGATGGTAGACTGACGGTTAAATGACAGAACAGGGATAAAGGACTGGGACAAAAGTATTTATGGACAAGTCAGAACAAAAAGTACAACAAATCAAAGACAAACAATTTGTCTTTGAGAGATAGTTTTCACAAAGTGACTTTCATTCTTGTCATCTTTGTGGTTGGCAGAAGAATGGATCTGTGCAGTGTAGTCTGCCTTCCCTGTCTGATTCCCACTCTAATTGGTCTGTTTGGGAGATACTCATCCCATAATAGCCTGCCTGTGGTCTAAGAGACTCGGTCTCCCAGTGCTGTTGCCATGGCAGTAGAGAGCACATGTAACATATTGGTCAGGTTTCAGGGAGGAAGTTACGGAGGTGAAACAGAGGTGTGTGTGTTTGGGTATGTGTGTGGGTGTGTGTGTGTGTATGTGTGTGAGAGAGAGAGTCGAACTACACAATGTCTCAGGTTCGTCCTTTCACTGGGAAACAGAACAAGGTGAACAAAGAACAACAATATTCCCAAATCCACCTTATACCTCATTTCTTAGCTCTTTGTGAATTAAAATCCATTCTGCCCGCCTTCTCACCATGACAGTGCAATGACCTTGACTAATGTTCAAACTATCAGCATTTGTACCATCAGGTCCAGATTCATTCATAAGTGATCAAAACTGTGTCTCAACTAGCATAGCACGCCCAAGACAAGACCTGCACAAACTCAGAATACAGTAAGTTTCTAGTTTTTGTTTTCAGCTGTTCTTGATACTTGAGCCTCTGCAAAAATACATTTACTGCAACTGTGCGTCATTCCAACCCATATGGACCGAATAGAGTTTTCTCCATTGGGCTCAGTCTCAGAGATGGGGTCGGGAGCTTGGACATCCAAGAGAATCTCGAAGTTAAACCACTTCTCTTTCATGGCAAAAGGGTATAGTTGAGGCACGCCCTACTGGGAGAAGACCTAGAGGTCGAAATCTCTGGAGGGATACATATCCCATCTGGCCTGGGAACATGTCGGGAATTCCCAGGAAGAGCTGGAAAGCATTGCTGGGGAGAGGGATGTCCGGAATACCCTACTCGGCTGGGTACCTCTACAACTTGAGCTTGACTACACGGGAGACAATTGACGGTGTTTTGTGCTCTCCATCAAACCACATTGTTAATAAAAGTGTGTCTGTATATTTGTTTTTTTGAAGCAGTCCTTTGGATCCACCTCATAAAGTGCAAGTTAACAAGTACATAAACATAAAGTACACTATAATATATGGCAATAATTAAGGCTCATGAATTTGAATTCTATATAAAACAAGTTTATTTAAGTTTTTGTTAATTGAGCTCTTATTCGATCCTTGTTGCATATTCTGTTCCCATGAGTCCTGGCTTAGCTAAGAAACTCTGCGCTCTAATCCAGCCATAATTACAGAGTGCCACGGCTCGTTGTCACGGAAACCAAAGAGAAACTCTCTAGGAATGTTTTTTTCCTCTTGCAGTGCACGTCTCTTCCAGCTAGAGCTGAGCCTTCTCCGGCTTTCTTCTTTGTCTGATTCTGCTGTAAAACTGCACTTTCATTCTGCACGATTCTGTTTCCCTGAACTCACGAACCTTGTTGTCATTGTGTGATATTAACTGAGCAGTATCATCAACTACGGACCTAGAATACACTGAGATTTAAAAAAGTTACAATATCACAAGATTTTCAGGGTAATTGATTGTATTTTTTTATTTGGCAGCAATAAATGATGTCAAATTAAATGGAAATTGGCAAATTAAAATATATACAATATTCTACATTGTTTTCATAAGCATTCATTTCAAGGATCTATAATGTCTCATGTGTCTGATGATGTCTGATCTATAATAATTTAAAGACACTTCCACCTTGGTACATGATGTGTAAATAAGGACATGAAACTGCTTTGCTTTCAGTCAGTCCAGGGATCATTGCAAAGAGTAAGCCATGTGATGCCACTTCAGATGAGTAATGACATCTAGGCATCAACTCACAACCCAAACCTCCTGGAGGTCTAGATGACATTACATACTAACTTTGACAACAATTTTACCAATTTGCAAAAAATATATATACATGTGTGTGTGTGTGTGTGTGTGTGTGTGTGTGTGTGTGTGTGAAATTCAACTTTAACTTGTGTGATCACTCAGAACACTGTTAATCTTTAAATTGCACACTGTCAAGATAAAATGGATAAGCTGGATAAGAGCTTTAAAATGATATGGAACCATTTCACTGTGACTTATATACGGGTAATATGGCCAGAGTCCCCCCTGAAAAGTTCAAACTTAGTTAGCCACTATCCTCATTATGATCCCATACACAGGAAATTTCAGTTCCATGGGTTTACCAACTCAGCACACCAAATTTCAAAACAAAAGTATTTTTAGATCGATCACAATTTCCATTAGCCACACTTTTTTAAAGAGCCTTGCGTCCTCCCAACATGACTACAGGAGCTGTTTGGTGACAAGGACCCCACACGTACTACGTATATCCACAACCCTCATGTTGGCAAAAGGTCATGTATTGACTTCATCTGTTTGTGAAATAGAGGGAGAGCAATCACGCAGGGTAGATCTGACCATATGATCATAAGCAGCACTGTGACGCACTCTGTGTGTTTATCTTTGTGTGTGCTGAAGTGTTTGTGTGAGTGTCGGGGACGTGACAACCTTGCAGGGCTTATGAATGTCACTGTGCAACTAAACAGTTAGAGACAGCACCAGCAGCTCATTATCGTTCCACTCAATAAAGACAGTAAAAGTCTGTCAAGTCAAAGGTTTGTCAGCAAAATATGTTAGTAAATTACAATGAAATATATCAGTTACACAAAAAGTTGTCAACTTACACTAGATCCCCTTCATTTGACGTATAGCAGTTCTCTTAAATCAATCATTTTGACAGTGTTCTGTGCGGTTATTAGTGACACAATTCGATATCTGTGATATGACTGATTTAATAACACTTCATTGAAAACACCACCTGATCCGTTCAGTGTTAAAAGAGACACGCAATTTTCACAATGTCAAACTATAAAGCAGTGACGCATCAAGATTCATCATTATCTGATCAGCTGTAACGAAGATATAGGGCGACACATGAGCAAAGGACAGGGGAAACAGTTTAAAGATTAGATTATCTTTGGTTGAATAATACTATTATTCTGAAAACATCTTATCATGACCATTATTGTTATTCCTGAGTTTATGGGGAAACATTAGATTTTTTGGGAAATTATCAATAATGAAAATAAGAACAGTTGCAGCCTTGGTACTGAGACTTATAAACATAATACCATCAATGTAATAAAAGAGCTTTGTTAAATGTGCAATATAAATAAACTGTATTATGATTAATATTACTGTTATTATTGTTTTGTCAAACTGAATAACCACAATTTTTTTATTGGATGGTCCTCAGATGGGACTTCCATTGACCAACAATGTGAAGCTCAGGTTAAAACTGTTTAACAACATGCAAATAAGAGAGAATATACAGAGTGAGACAAGATGAGACAGAAGATGTGCAAATGAGAGCGAACGTCACATATTCACCAAGTATTTAAACACGGTGTCAAACTGCTACCGACCACATGCACCTAATACATCTCACTCAAGTTTTCAATACAACTATGCAACTGTGTACTTTGTACTTAGTACTGTGCTATTTCAATTTAACATGTGCAATACTTTTACAATGTTTATATTCTGTTTACATTGTACATATTGTGCTTTTATTGTATTTGACACATTTTAATGAGCATATATCGCCACAGTACACTTTTGCTGCTGGTAAATTCCATATAAGGAATTCTCTTATTTTATAGAATCTTATCTTATTTTATAGAATCCTATTTTATAATTCAGACTCACAGAGCATCTGTGCATCTTGTGTTCACTGCTCTGTAAAATCTGACACACACACACACACACACACCCACACACACACACACACACACACACACACACACAGTATCTTCCTCCTACGTGCACATCTCATGAGGCTCCTCTCAGTCTGGCACAGTCCAGCCGCAGCAGCTCAATGACCCGGGCCAGGAATGAGGCTTGGATCCGGGCTCTGGCTGCAGCTGTGACCGGCTCCTGGGCTTTAATAATAATACAATAAAAAAATAGAAATCACAGGGAGCAGGGGGGGGACCCCCACCCTGGCTGGCTCCTCCTTCAGAGGAGAACAGGAGCTGGCTGGTGTAACACTCCTCTTTTTCTTCCGTTCAGCCGCTCCCTGTTGTTATGTCTCCCTCGAACAGACCCACCACCCTGTCACCCTGTCACCCTCCGGTTCCTACCTGGAGTGCAGCCTCTTACTGGCCAGATCCTGGTCCACGCCGTTAGCAGCCGACTGAGCCATAGCACACCGCTGCTCGCCTGCGTTCCTCCCGCTGTGGAGCCTCCCCTCTTCGCGGTGACTTCCTCCAGAGGCAGCTCCCCCTTTCCTCTGCTCTGTCTCTGCTTCTTCTTCACTTCTCTCCCTTCCTCTCCCTTCCTCTCTCTTCCTCTCTCTTCCTCTTTCCTCACTCTGCAGCAGCGATGGCAGCTGCTCAGGAAGTGAGGAAGTGAGGTGTCAGGCTGAACACACCATAGAAGCACGAGGCCCCGCCCCTCCGCCCGACGTCACTGGTATAGGGCGTTGCTTGTGAGTGTGTTTGTGTTTACACCTACACGTTGAACACATTTCATGCACATGCGCACACGCACACGCGCGCGAACGCGCGCGCACACACAGTTTCATATCTTTTTTGCACTACAGGTTTGCAGTACTGTCTCTCTTTCCACTGTGTCTTATGACTGCATGTGTCATACTGTGTACTATGTCTTTAGTACTTATTATGTTGCGTACTTGTATGTCCTGTTTTTGTGTACTCGTATGTTCTGACTACTTATATGTTCACACCGGGGATCAGAGAGAAACAGCATTTCAATCCCCTCTGTGTCCTGTGCAGAATGAAGAATAAAGTTGACTTGAATTTAATTAAATGCAATATAAACACAATAAAAAGTTGTATGTACATTTTAGAATATAAGTAAAGATGGAGAATGTTAGGAACATACTTTCAGTTGTGCAACTTCGTGTCATCAAGTGTTTTGACCTTGTAATCAACGATACAGGCCCGACTAGAGGCTAGAGGTAAATCTGACTGGCCACTGGCTTGTCTGGAAGTACTATGAAAGCCATGTGGTCGCTCATTAGATCAGACATCATTACCTCTTTGTCTTTTTAAACCAAACACTGGACCATTTTATAATAAAGGACAAGATGGAGAATATTCCTTGTATGTTCTACCACACTGGCACCAGTGGATGTTACCGAATACTATTGAACACCAGTGGACGTTAGGGACATATATTCAGTAGTGTGTTACAATGGTTATAGTTTAAACACATTCAAGTGCACAGTTGCATAGTTGTAGTGAAAATCTGAGTGAGATGTATCAGGTGCATGTGGTCAGTAGCAGTTTGACAGCATGTTTTTCATTCTTGGTGAATATGTGATGACCACCTCATTTGCACATCTTCTGTCTCATCTTGTCTCACTCTCTGTCCATTTGCTCTTATTTGCATGTTGTAAAACAGTTTGAACTGAGCTTCACACTGTCTGTATGTAATGTTTCTGTAATGAGAAGAGCATGGGTAAAAGAATGTCAATCTGTCATGTGACAATCCTTGTCTGTGAGTCGCCATCATCCATTAAAAGGAGCTAAATGAGAAAATCGTTTTTTCTAGCTTTCAAAACAAGAATTCAATGCGTTGCCATAACTGTAAATCCCTTTGAGAATCAGCCCACCAGCCAGTCAGTGCAGCTTCCAGCCACTTAGCTCTCAATGTGTTGTGTGTCTGGTCTGTCAGAGTTCACCTCACCCTCAGGTTACATTTCCCTCCCGCCCCCTGAGAGTCAGCGAGCTGACCCTCATCCACATGTACCTGAGGGTTGGTTACATAAAAAGCAAAAGAGAAACAAGGCTCCTCACGAGGTCCTTCCTTTGTTAGACTGGAGAGAAAAGTGCATCTATTCTCTACTGCTGCCACTACTACCTGAACAAGGATAATCCCAAAGAAAAGAGATGGGTGGATGACATGCAGACAGAAAATTCTCTTACAAATCACTGAGTTCACCATATTTAAAATGTGACCAAACTTTGTGTTTACTTTTAACAGGTATCACAAAAAACTCCTTGTGACATTACTGTTCATGTTTGAGCTATATTAAATTAATCTCATTTGAAATCAACTCGTCAGCACCGTCGTCAGCCACATTTGGTCCAAACTGCAAAGCACAGCAACTTTCCACTCACCTGTCCTGAACTGTTGTCGTCATGCCTCCAGCCGTGTGCACCAGCATCTCACAGACCTGTGGCGTGTCATTCAGAGTTGTGTCACGCCACCTCCCTGGGTCTACAACCGGTTTCTGTTGGTGTGTGCATCGTCAGCGAGGCAAAGCCTTGGGATGAAATGTTTGTGACACACATCTGAATACTTGAAGCATGCCAGTATATATGCTGGGTTCATAACTCAATGAGGTACTATTAGTAATGTGACAAATATATCACATATAGAGTAAATGATGTAGAGTAAAAAAAACAATATGTGACTGTTTAGATTCTCTTGTGTCACACTGGTTAGCCTTGTGTTGTCACTGCAAGAAAATGGAGAGGCCTGTCTGTTAGTCTTTGGTATACCATACTGTATTATGTAACTTAAGAGTAAATACAGTGTGGCATATAGAGCGTATATATAGTACTTTTAATTTAGAACATATTTACAGTATGGTTTATGCCATTTAGA